AAAAGTCTTTCCAAAATACAAGCAAACCAATTTCCTCTTATTTCCATTAGTACCTGCTTCAAAAATCTCTCTCCAAAGACCCCATGCTATATCAGTTTTTCCTATGGCATGACTCTTTGGTGGAGAAGAACTATGTGGTGACTATACAAAGAAAATAAGACCATGTTAAATAAGCTAATGTTTTCTAAAATAAGCTTTAATTTAAAAAACCAGAATGGGCATGAGAGGAAGCACTGAAGGTGTTTTCTAGAATGATTCAAGTTGGCAAATAAGCTAATGTATACACCTATGGTCTGCTGTTAGTGCATTTGCTAATTCAACAAATAAAAAAGAAGGTAAACAAATTCATTAATCACATTGTATCAAAACGTGGACAATGCTAGGATGGTGTTCTATGAAATGGCTTTGAAAAATCAGGTTTCCTGGAATGCTATGATCGCAGGCTACTCTAAACATGGATATGGCAGTAAAGCAAAAAATAATTTAAGAAATCCAAAAACTCAGGAATGGTTGCACGAGTTCACATGCTCTAACTAATATTGTCATCACTGTCAAAGTTAAGAAGAAATGTTAAGGCGAATAATCGAGTAATGAGACAGTTAAGTACAGGTTGTAGGTGTAATAAACATAAGATGCATGACATTTTAAGCTAAAGCTTCAATTAGATTGTGTAGTCACATATACTATTAACTTTCAGGCTAATGATAGTTAACAAAGAGAGAATTTTAAACAAGTATCCTCGCTGCAGTAGAGAATTGGCTAAGGCCAGCACCGCTGCTCGTCACAGAAAGACCACCCCAGTGCTTTAAATACTTGGCATCCCTTTACTATGGATAAATATGAAAATCTAATGTAAATCGAGCAGGCATTCTTTCTTTGCTTACAATGAAAAGAATAACTAGTAATTACACAAGTTGCACGTTAGAGCTCGCTTAGCATGTTAGTTTAAGCTAAAGTAGAAAAAGATTTTTAATTACTTTAAGTAACTTATAATTACCAAACAGATACATTATCCATTTTCTTAGTTCTGTGTAGCTAAAGTTACATATTTGGGATGTGATTACCAGCTAGCTTACTTATTTTCAATTTTAACCAACAAAAACTTAGTTACTTACAAGTAAACTTCTTAGCAAAAGATGATCTCATGATTGCAGTCAAAATAATTGCAATTGATGAACAAAATCAAAACAGATAATGTTTGATAACTCACAAGTCAAACAAACCCAGTTTATGATTAAAAAGAGTAGAAAGTTAAAGCACAATTACATAATAATCAGTAGATAAACTACTCAAACAAAACATCAAATCTTAAGAATCTTCTTCCTTTTCCCCAAAAACACGTGAAATTCCTAGGAGGCTAGGACCCATAAACTTTCAAGCTGATAATGGAGAATTAAAAAAAAATGATAATATTCAAACTTACACATTTTTCTTCCATCTATTACAACTTGAAATTGGGGATTTGGATAGGAAGAACTACAGGGAGTGAGGGAGACGGGCCAAGGGATTTTTCAATATCTCACGGTATAGTGACTATCGTGATTGCGAGGGAGTGAAACTTGGGTTTTATATAATTAGATAAACCCGGCCACTTCACAAGAAATCGGGTTAGCGAGTTTCTTAAAAACCAGTTGTTCACAAATTTTTTAACCGGTCATATGTCAGGTCCAGTCAAATTTTTATAATGCTGCTTCTAGTTAGTAGAAGTCATGTTCTAAAATATGCGAAAATGCGCCGTCTACGCGCTCTTAGGAGCGATGAGGGTGGAAAACTCGTTGAATTCGGAGTATGCGCGAAAATGTGTTTCTGTTCTAAAAAGCGGCATAACGCGCCGCCTAGGCGCATTATCCCGCCTAATCCCTTCTTCTTTTTTTTCTTGGGTAATTTTTTTTTTATGATATATTAAAAAATCTATTTTTTTATATAAAAATATATTTAATACCTTAAAAATAATTCAAATAATATTAAAAATACGAAAGACATTATGGCGCTTATTCTTCGCATTGACACGCCTAAACTTGTGATTCTTGGTTCTCGAC